CCTCATCCTTCTCCTCCTCCTCCTCCTCCTCCTTCTCCCTTTGCCCTCCTTCTCCCCTCCCTCCCGCCCGTAACCCCCTTCCCCCCGTCCTCTCCCTCCACCCCCTTCTCATCTTCACCTCGCCTCCTTAATATTGCACCCCTCTTCTTCCAGTTCTCGCCTCCCCCTCTTCCTTCCCTCCCTCCTCCCCCTATCTCCCCATTTTTTCTTTCATTTTTCAAATTTTCCCCTTGGGAGGAAGAGGTACCGATCCCGCTGCTCGTCCTTGGGAGCTCTCTCTCCCACGTGGCCCGCAGCAGGCAGCAGAGCTTGAGCGACCGCGACAGTGCCAAGAGAGGGCCGCAGGCTGCCATGGGTCTTCAAACGCTGATCACCCGCTGCCGCCGCGGACGGCGCGAGCCTGCTGTAGCGTGGGCCACGCTTCCAAACGTGCTCCGCGGATGGTCTCCCCAAGAGTGGGCTGAAGCAGGGCAGCGCTGGCGGGAAAGCGGTTGCATTTGAGAGGCGTTTTACTCATCACTGACAACCACTATGCATGATTTTACATCATCCCAGCCCTATCAGCTGGACCCTTACACCCTGGGAATGTTAACAAAACCGAGGGACGGGGAGTGCCATGTGCCTGTGCCCCCCGAAGCCTAAACAGCCGTTGGTACGTGCCACAACGTACACGCGAGGGCGTGGCGGAGAGGAGAGGAGGAGGAGGGGAAACGACGACGAGAGGGAGGAAGAAGGGAAAAAAGGCGGCTTCACCAACGCCGGGTTTTCTGAGCACCTGTGCGCGGCCTCCGGGCCCCGGAGAAGATGGAGGACGCCAGGCAGGCAGGCAAGCGAACAGGGGGGGGCAAGGCGGAACGGGGCGCACAGACCGCGCAGGGCGGGCGGGGGGCGGGAGGGAGGCGCTCAGTCGTCGGCGCCCTCGCCCGGCCAGCACGCCCAGACGCGGGCGGCCGCCCGCCGCCAGAGCGCTACGCTGGCCGCGATTGCCAAGCGGCGGTGCCGCCGCGCCCCGTCCGGGCATCCCCTCCGCCGGGAAAGGCGGGTCTTGAGTGTGCGGAGGATGGATGTCGTCCACGGGTGGGGTCGGCCGTGCGCTGACCAAGCGAGCGGCTGGTACAGGATGTTCTGACGGTCCAGAACATCGCTGTGGGGGGCGTAGTAGGCCACCTGGCGCTCGTGCGTGCTGGACACGCAGTCCGGGCCAACGTGGCGCGCGTCGGGAGAGGCTATCCCGATGTCGCGCGCGGTGGGCCCGTGCCCCAGCGCACCTGTGAGCACGTCCGCGGGCCTCAGTCGGGTGCCCCGGATGAGGTTCTGCGCCTCGAGCTCGGTCGCGGGGTCGCAGCTCCTGGCGGCCTCGTGCACCTGCCGTGCAAGCGCGTGGTGGCCCCTCGTAGCCTCAGCCCTGCTGCAGCAGAGGGCGCGCGAGCCCGCGGAGTCGAGCAGCGCGGTGCCGCAAAGGTTGCAGGGGGCAGGCTCGCTGGGACCAGCGGCGCCGACGCGTGGGCGGAGCGCTTCGACGAAGTCCCGGTGGTCGAAGAGGGGCCCCTTGTTCCAGCTCAGAGCCAAGAGCCACTCGTGGTTGGTGTCGGGGTGGCCGAGCTCCTCCAAGCGGCGCAGCGCTGGGTCGTTGCCAGCCTGCGCGTGGCGCTCGCGCAGCTCCAGGCGCGCCTGCGTGTCGAGGCGGGCCAGGATGGCCCTCTGGAGGTGGGCGCGTCCGCAGGGGGCAGCAGCCGAGTGCTCGTCGTCCTCGGCCGCGTCCAAGGGGACGATGCCGCTGCCCATGCGCTGGGGCCGGCGGTTCCGCCTGAGAGCGCCGTCGTTGGTGGGTGCGGCAGCGTCAAAGAGGCCGGCCCAGCGTTCCTCGCTGTGGTCGGCCTCGTCAGCGAAAAAGTCCAGGAGCTGTCTGCCAGGGGTCGGAGGGAGGGGCCCGACCAGCGCGACCGCGGCCTCCTCCGCGCGCCGGTCGTGGGCCCCCATGACCGCGGCCGCGGTGCACAGGTCGGCCAGGGCGAGGTGCTCGGCCATCTCGCGGACGTGCGGGCGGGAGCTCACGCGGCTTGCGAGGAAGGCGGCTGTGGGCACGCGCTCCGCGGTGCGCAGGCCGAGGCCGCCCCGGGAAACGCCGGTGGTGGCTTGCTCCCAAGCGTGGTCTGGCAAGTCGCCGCCAAAAATGGTTTCCACTGCGGTGCGCAGATCCCTGTCGAAGGTAGCGAGCCGGTCGTGACTGATCCTGTCCCCGTCGAGGCGCAGCTGATAGGAAAGCTTCGACACGTCGGCGCACAATCGAGTCAGGACGAGCTCGGTGGGTGCGTGGTTGACGCTGGGGAGCGCAAGGCGGGCGGTCCGGGCCTTCTCCACGACCGCTTTGACCTCGTCGTCGAGAGCCTCTTCGCTGCCGAAAGGGGCGCCCAAGGCGAGCGTAGGGCCGCGTGGGTCAAGGACATTGCAGGTAGCGCGAACGCAGCCGGTGTCCAAGCCGTCGTGAGGGTGGCGCTGTTCCGGCGGGCAGAGCAGGCGGCAGGAGCTCTTGGCCGTGCCGTCGGCGACAGAGTCGCGGGTGCCGCCGAAGCGGGCGAGTCCGGCGTCTAGTGCCCTGAGCCAGGGGTCACTCCTCGCACGCCCGCAGGCCGGCGGCGGCAGGGGCGGCCGCGGGGGGAAGCGGGCCGGGGGCGGCGGCCGGGGCCAGGCCGCGGGCGGCGGGGGGCTGGCCCGGGGCGGCAGCAGCGGGGGCCCTTGCTGGCGCGGGGGCAGCGGCGGCGAGGGCGGGCGCGCGCGCGGCCGCGAGGGTGAGCCCAGCCTGGACGGTGCCAAACACGTCGCCCTGCTCCGCCCCGCGGTCGGTGTCGAAGAGTTCGCCAGAAGGCAGCTCTGTGGTGGAAGGCCCGCGGTGGTGCCAATTCGTCCAGGCGGCGATCTCTGGGAAGGCGCCCGGGTCGATCGCGTCGCGCATGGAGTCCCACTCCACAGAACCGAACATGTTGACCAGATCGACGTCGAGGGCGACGAGAGCGGGGATGGCCCTGGCGGCAGCCAGCTCCTCCTCGGTGCCGCGCCAATGCGCCATCGCCTCACAAGCGCCGGGGACGCCGACGCCCCACTGGTGAGCCTGTCGGAACACCGCCCGCAGCTTGTGCAAATACTTTTTGGTGTAGCGTTTGGCGAAAGAGCTGCGGAGGACTTCTCCCATTTTGATGGGCCGCGGCTTGCCGTTTAGTTTTTTCTGCCAGACGAGGCGGGTCCGGATAATCCACTGCATGGAAGCGTGGAGGGCGCCGTCACGCATGGTAGCGTGGAGGCGGTTCAGCGCGCGTCGCAGGCTGGCGGCTTCGCGGCGGCGCGGCACGGAGAAGAGTTCCTTGAGGTGCTGTGGTCGCGTGCCCGCGGGGCCCGGAGCAGTCAGCTTCGACCACAGGACGCCGTCGAGAGGGTTGTCCTTAGTTCCGTCCTGGTCGTCCTCGCCGTCGTCGGGGCTGCCGTCGGGGGCGGCCGGCGCGGCGGGGTCGGCGGGCAGGGCGGCCGCCGCAAAGGGGGGCGGCGCCAGGGGGCCAGCGGCCCCGGGCGGGGCGGCCTGCGGGTCGGGCGGCGCGCCGGGGGGCCCATGCTGGACGGCGGCGAGGGCGCGGTCCGGGCGGCTGGTCCGAGGGAGGAGCTGTCGGGCGTAGCGGAGGTCCTCTGCGGCGCTGGTCTGCAAGGTGTCGCTCGTGAGGGTGAGGGCGGCCTTGCGGAAGGCCCCCTCGGCAGCGAGGTGTTTTGCGCGCCGCTGCTTGCCCTCGGTGTCGACGGTGTCCCCGCGTCGCCGTCGCTTGGTTCGGTTGGCGAGGACCCGCTGCTGCTCCAGGCGGTCCAGCAAAGCAGCGAAGTCTCCAGACTCCCAGAACCCCAGGCGCAGGGTGACCTCCTCAGGGGCGGGCGAGCCCTCGGGGATGGGCCCAAGCAGGAGCTTGCAGCGCGCATCTTCTGGCTGTGAACACCCGGGGGTGCCGTCGGCGCAGCGCTTCCAACACTGCCGAGTGGCACGGAGGAGGCGGGAACGGCAGCTGAGGGGCACGTGGACACGCGTGCTGTGGCTCGGGGCGCGGACGTGGCGGGCGAAGTCGAGTGGCAGGGCGGGTGCGCCCGCCACATGGCCGTCGTCGAGGGCGACGGCGTCATCGGCGGGTTGCGCAGCGTCTGGGGCGGCTGCGGCGTCGTCGCGGCCTTGCGCACGGTGCGCTGCAGTCGCTGCGCCCGTGACGATGTCGCCGACGACGGGGGGGCGACATCCCCGTCCTCCCAGTGTCCCCACATCATCCCCGTCCCCCATCTCATTTCCCTCCCCTTCTCCCATGTCTCTTTTGTTCCCCTGGGCACCCCTCACAGCCGTGTCTGGAACAACCTGAACTCTGTTGTCGATGATCGTCAGAACCTGTGTCAGCTCCAACGCGTGTTTATCAGCCGAGGCCCTCCAATACGACGCAGGCGGTGTAGTGAGGACCGACGCAAGCTGCGATCAATCGGCGGAGCTGAGCGAAGGAAACACACATTGGGCGAACGCACGTCCTGAGGATCATCGATCCTGGGGTCATCCAAGCACCCCGCCACCTTCCCCTCCCCACATCCCCCGACCCCCGTGCTCGCACGGGGAGGTCTCTAGAGGTCACTGGAACTGCGCGGAGCCAGCGCCTTCGCAGATCCGCAAGAAAGCCCAACACTCAAAGAAGGAAGCGAGAAAACCTCCTGGGCCCTCGATCACCCTTCCCCACCCTCCCCCGGGAGCTGGTGGTTTTACTCTTTCAATCCGCGGGCCCTAGAAGCTTCGATCTGCCCCCCAGGGACAATTTTTCGTCCTGGGGCCACTCTTGACAATCCCAGGGCCCGAGAAGGGTCCCTGAAGGCTGGAGTGGATGAGAGCCAAGGGATTGAGAGTGTTGCGAGGGCCTTCCACGGATCTGGGAGGCGGGGGGGGGTGCGACGCCGAGGATGGAGAGGCGAAGGGAGGCCGCGGCGGGAGGCGCCGCCCCAGAGGAAAACGAGCACGCTGAGGCTGTTCAGGAGCAAGTATGACCTCGGCGAGGGATGGCGGTAACGAGGGTGATAATGACAGGTGGTTGACGACGATGGTGATGGTGATTGATGGTGCTATGCGTGGTTATGGTCTCTGACGATCATCACCACGTGGTGACGATTGCTTGTGGTAATGATGGTGGTAATTGCTGGTTATGGTGATGACGCTGCTGCTGGTGTTGATGCGGCTCCTCCAAGTGGGCTTGCTTGCAATAAACTCAACTCCATACATTATACCTTGTCCAAATTCTGTTCCCCCCCCGTGCGAAGTGTTTGACATTCCGTGACGTTGGTACTCGTGTACGTTACTATGGGTATTCCCATTTGCTCTTAAGGGTATGTGCGAGCTCATGTGGGTATCCATGGACATTCAAATCGAATCCAATCTGTGCACGCGTGCATTTCAGTGGGTGATCAAAGCTATTTCGAGTGATTGCAGTTGTACTGTTGTAATAGTGGTAGTTCGAACTGGCTTCAGAGGAGTAGGGTCGAGTATAATGGAGTACGCTCGAGCCAACTCGGGTATGATAGAGCAGAACATCCTCACATGGACTAACACACATTTTACTACACACCCGCCATCGTGCCGCGAGGCACGAAGTGGCGTGTCTTCGCGTCACTTCGAGTTCGGCCTCAGAACTCCGACATTTCTATGCGCTCCCAAGCGATCTCGAGGCTTGTCGAATGACTTTTCCAGAGGCCTCGGCAGCGCACTTGCGAGTCCACACTTCCCACGTGCCCCAGGACGGCCCCGAGGGAATGTCGTGCAACCCCTTAGTCGCAGCCCTACTCTCGCGAGCCTCTGGAGCGGGTGTGCGACAAGCGGCAAGCAAACTGAGGGAATGCCATCAGGACACCCCAATTAATCCCCACGTTAGCTGCGCGCAACAGGGCGGGGCGAAGGCGGCGAAGGCAGGGGACTTCTTAGAAGGGATCGGCCCCCCGTCTGAAAGGTGTCTGAGAAGACCCCCTGGAGCGCAGGAGGGCTTCCAGTATTATCGGCTACGTGCGCGCAGAAGTGATCCCAGGCAAGAGTGATCTTTCGTGCGCGGCCTTAAGAGGGCCGCGGGGGAGCCAAATCCGAGCGCACAAGCCTGCTGCCAGTGTTGGGGGAACCCCATGGGGGCCCGCACTCAAGGCCACTCTGGCGATGGTCACACTGTTTTCGGGCCATACCTCGGGTCTCCGGCGGCCGTTCGGGACGATTCGGGCACCCCTGGAACGCTCTCGGCGAGGCGCAGCTGCTGGAGGGCATCCCGAGGCTGGAACACCGCCGAAGACCCACGAGAGCATCCGAAAACCTTCTACCCCGACGAAGACGAAGCGACAACCCTGAGGCTGACCCTCTCGCCCCCCGTCTACGTGCCTTGCGCGTGCGTGCCGAGCAAAAACCTTCAGGAACCGACGGAAGCGTCGGACCCACAAACGCCAGAAAAAGACCCGGCCTGCGCGGGGCCGACGAGAGGCGGGGTGGCTCCTCGCACGGCCGCCCGCCTCGCCCTGCGGCCCTCGTCGCGCCAGCGCCGCCGACCGCCCGCTCGATCAGGGCCGGCCCGGGGGTGCTGCCAGCTGCGGGTGAGCCGGTCGTAGGCGAGCAGGGCGGCGAACGAGCGCTTCGAGGAGGCGACCCCGCTTCGCAGAGGTTTTCATGCTGCTCGGGGTGGGGGGGGGCAGGATCGGTCAGCATCGCATAGAGAAATCGGGTCGAATCGGAAGGCGCGTCGGATCGGGCCGCATCGGCACGGAGTCGAAGTCGAATCGGATCGGCTGCAACAAATGCACAACACGACATGTAAACATTGGGCAGCATCGGATCGTCGTGAAATCGACATCGAATCGGATCGGACTTGCCGAAATCGGTAGTCATCGATTCGGGTCGATCGGATCGAAATGGGCGCGCCAACGAATCGTCCCAGATCGAACTCGAACTGTCGCGCCTGGCTCCGCCCGGCCCCGGCCGATGACATTGAATCGGAGCACATCGAATCCCAAACATGCGTTTGCTTTTTTCAATCCGGGTCCAAAAGTCTTGACCCATTCCCTGGGACTGGTTTTCCTCCTGAAAAGTCTTTTGATGGTCCCGGGACTGGCCGAGGGCCTGTAGAGGCAGAAAACGGCCAAACACTTTCCGTTTGATGTTTCACGCTGCGAGCATGCCTGGGATCGAATCGGAATCGCGGCCCCAGCCGACGAGTCGAATCGCACCGAATCGGATTGCAGGTGGCCCTGCCGGGTCCGGGCCCCCTAGCCGCCTGCCTGACGGTCGGGATCTCCGCGTCGCGCAAGCCTGGCCTGACCCGATGCAGGATCAGTCAGCATCGAATTGGTACATCGAATCGACTCGAAATGTGCATCGTGTCGGGCTGCATCGGCACGGGGTCGAAATCGAATCGGATCAACTGCACCAGATGCACAACAACACCATGCGAGCATCGTGCCGCATCGGATCGTCGGAATCGGATCGGATCGGGGCCTGCCAGAATCGACATCGAGTCGGATCGATCGGATCGAAGCTGACTCTGCGCCGAGGGCGGGCGTTCCCGCTCCTCCTCCTCCTCCTCCTCCTTCTCCTCCCCCTCCTCCTCCTCCTCCTCCTCCCCGTCCTCCTCCCAGTCCTCCTCCTCCTCCCCACTCCTCTCGTAGATCCTGCCTGCGCCCGAAGGTTTCAAAAAAGATGCTGGCGCTCACTGGCGTCTCCGTTGGAACGGTAATGGCACACGCCCTGCCAACTGCGTGGGCGGCGGCAGCAGGAGGGCCAAGAGGCAAGGAGGCTGAGGTTGGAGAGATGGCAGAAACTTAGGAGAGACTCCCCTCTCCTACGACAGAACCATTGCACATATAACACATCAGACATCTCTGAGCGCTGGCGGGCTTGGAGGGCATATCTGGCGCCGCCGCCGCTGCAGAGCGCTCAGGAACACTCCGATCGGGTTCTGGAACGCTCTGGAGCGATTCGTCATCATCACTCGGCGGCGAGCGAGGGGGGAAAGTGAGAAGGAGGAGGCCTTCTCAGAAGTCGGCGGGGCTTCTCAGAAGCTTGCTGGCCTTATGAATAGTTTTCTGTTCCTTCGGGGGAGACTTACCTAACTTCTCAGAAGGCCCGAAGCTTTCTTAATCTTCTGAGAAGGCCCTCCCCTTCTCACTTCCCCTTCCCGCTCGCCGCCGAAATATGACTCTGGAGTGCCTTGGAACGGTTCGGCTTCATCACAAGCCTGCCTGCGAACCTCCCCTCCCCTCCCCTCCCTCGTCCTCTTCCCCCTGCTGGCCCGTCTGGGTCACATGATGGCGCAACGCAAAGAGGCCGACATGAAAGAGGGCAAAGCGCCAGCCTGATCCAGAGCTCGCCGAGGCCGCCGACCCCAGCCGCAACAGCGCCTGCGGTCGCGCCAGATGCTGCGGACCCAGGAGAACCAGGGCTCGACCTACACAATGCTTTTCCCAACCATCCTGTGGTGTTGGGTCCTCGTTTTGAAAAGCCCCGCGTCCCTCCCTCCCTCCCGCTCCCTCCCGCCTCCTCCTCCTTCCTCCCTGCGTTTCCCCCGCCTAGTGCAGCGCTTCGTGGCCCCAGAGGGAGCTCCACCGAAGGCTCTGGTGGTAGGGTTCGCATGGCGGCCTCGGGCCATTTCGGCACACCCTTCACGAGGATCGTGGCCCCCCAAAAAGCTCCGCCGATGGCGCCACCGGCAGGGTTCGCATGGCGGCCTCGGGCCATTTCGGCACACCTCTCACGAGGATCGTGGCCCCACAGGGAGCTTCACCGAAGGCCTCAATGGCAGGGTTCGCGTGGCGGCCTCGAGCCATGTCGGCACACCCTTCACGAGGATCGTGGCCCCATAGGGAGCTCCGCCGATGGCGCCAGCGGCAGGGTTCGCATGGCGGCCTCGGGCCATGTCGGCACACCCCTCACGAGGATCGTGGCCACATATGGAGCTTCACCGAAGGCGCCAGTGGCAGGGTTCGCATGGCGGCCTCGGGCCATTTCGGCACACCCCTCACGAGGATCGTGGCCCCGTAAGGAGCTCCGCCGACGGCCCCCAGTGGCAGGGTTCGCATGGCGGCTTCGGTCCATGTTGGCGCACCCCTCGCGAGGATCGCGGCCCCGTAGGGAGCTCCACCGAAGGCGCCAGTGGCAAGGGTTCGCATGGCGGCCTCGGGTCGTTTCGGCACACCCCTCACGAGGATCGTGGCCCCGTAGGGAGCTCCGCCGAAGGCGCCAGTGGCAGGGTTCGCACGGCGGCCTCGTTCCATGTTGGCACACCCCTCGCGAAGATCGTGGCGCCGAAGGCCCCAACGGCAGGGTGGCCTCGGGCCATGTCGGCAAACCCCTCGCGAGGATCGTGGCCCCGTAGGAGCCCCAGCGGAGGCGCCAGTGGCAAGGTTCGCATGGCGGCCTCGGGGCATGTCGGCACACCCCTCACGTTGATCGTGGCCCCGTAGGGACTTCCACCGAAGGCGCCAGTGGCAAGGTTCGCACGGCGGCCCTGGGCCATGCGGCACACCCCTCACGAGGATCGTGGCCCCATAGTTGTGCTGCTTCAACAACCGCGCCTGGGCGTCGTACTCCGCCATATAGACGTGCAACGCCACCGCCTCCCTCATGGCTCTCAAGGCCCTCTCCTGCTTCTGCTCCCCGGTCAGAGGAACGCCGTCCTTGTGGTCGTCGGCGCCCGCGAAGACGGCCACGAACGTGTTCCTGAGCATGTCGGGCTCCGGCGGGAAGCCGTGGCCACATGAGGAGTGCGGGCGAAGACGGTATTCAAAATTGCGGTATTCACAACTGCATATGGTTGGGTCCTTCGTCAGGCGAATTTTTCGTTTTGTTTTCGGTTTCCCTCGTTTTGTCTTCAATCCGCCTTTGCTGGACAACGAAATCGAAGCGAAAACTGCCCACGAAATCGCCAAAAGGCCGTTTAGGTCAACCCCTGGGACGTAAGACCACCCCTTCCAAATCTAG